GAATTGCCGGGAGTTGGGGGGAGAATCCCCAAGTGAAATCACTGGCAGCTCCTTGGAACCCCCAGAACCTCTCAGCCCAGGCAGCCAATGAGACTCCCTGTCACATACCCAGACTTACCAGAGAGTCCCAAAGTCTGTCCCACCAGAGTCACCAAAATATGAAACTGGAAAAGACACCAGAGTTTGTGCTGCCTGTCACTACCAAACTCACTAAGCAGAGACAGGGACTGAATCTTTATGGGTGCTTTATTCAGATGGCCAGTGATCTGAGAAGATGGTGGGTTCATACCCTAACAGACCATCTTGTCTTGTCTTTCCAGGCCAAAGTTTTTATAGCAGGGAATAAACAAGGTGAGGTAAGGGGTTTTGAAATTCAGGGTTTTCCCTGAATTGAATTAGAAAAAAAACAACTTCAGCATTCTCATCCTGAGTGGTGGTCTTAAGCTGTGCCCCAGGCGGTCTTTAGCTGTGTCCTGGGCTGGCAGTCATCTCACCCTGGAGTACAGTGGCTCAGCTATCACCTTGAATTGTTTGCAGTCTTTCTGAGGAACAAAGATGAAACTGCTTATGGTCTCCTGGAGTCATACCTTCAAGTTCCTGGAACAAAAGCCTTTACATGCATTGATTACTAAGCTTATTAGCTTTCATATAAACTAAAATTTTCCAACTCTTATGACCCCTATCAGTTTGACAAGTTCTGAAGCTGACAAGTACCTAGGTACCATTGCACATGGGAGGCCTTGAAATCTACCTGGATGATGAACTTGACTGTAGTCTGATTAGCTAAGGTATGCAACCCCTCGATGTCCTCCTGAGCTCTGAGCCAAGTAGCCCCCTATCACAGAACATTCTTGATCATTGCAACAGTTCACTTGCATGGAGTGCAGAGTCACAATGAGGCAGGATAGTAAGAAGTTAGGAAAAATCCTAAAAAAGTGGAATGGGGGAACTGAGACAAGAAAATTAAGCAAGGCCAAACGATTTGAACTTGGATCCAGCTGGTGAATCACAAGACCTTATCTCCTCTAACCAAGACACTTGAGAGCAAATGGTTTATACCTGTGCTCCCCAACCAAAGAGTACATAGCATATGTCACTCATATCAGGGAAAATAAATGGTGGAGGCCCAATTAATGTCGTTTGTACCATCAAACCCAAGAACAGATGGTGTCAAAGGAACAAATAAGAAACAAAAAATGATTAGAGCCAGACAGACTCAAGATAAAGGTAAAGCAGTGAAGCAGACCAAAGAATATTCCCAAAAGCTCAATACTGTCCTTTTTATGCATCAGTGTATTAAAAAATGCACCTGGAAAAGCAGTGAATATTCTGCTGAAACCCTCTCCTAAGACCCTCACCCACAGCAGAGAGATAAAACCCTCAGAACAAAAACTCAGGGCAGGCTCACTCTACAGCACCCATGCCCCTTCCTGGGCATGCACCTTTTACTTCCTCCTACACTCTAAGGTCCCCATCAGACTTGCAACCAGAAGAGCAGGGGCAGTTCCTCCCAGGCTAACCCACCCATCCAGCTCCAAGGCCCCCTTTTCTCTGATTTCCCAGTGAGGTAGAAGCAGTCCAGCCCTTTTCTGTTTCTGGCCTTAGTTCCCTGGGAGCTGACAGCAGCCACACCTTGGCTCGTTCCTTCCCTTTGTCTTCCCTTGGGAGGCAAAGTATGGCCACACCCTCTCCTATTGCTTTTTGTTTCACTTTCCTCATTTTTAATAAACATCCTCTTAAAGTCCCCTGGACTACAGATGTGAAAACTTTCCCTTCATGAAGTAAGCATTAGTACACTACCCAACCCCACCCCAGGGAGGACTGTTCAGGCTGGGGCACGTCCTGGGACATCAGCTGCCAAGGGACCCAAAGAAAGCAATTGAGTTGTAGATATCTTAAAATATTGAATTTAAGAAGAAGCAAAAAGCAGCCCCAACACTGGAACTGGTCTGGTGCTTAGAGCGAGACCCAGTGTTGCCAGGAGTCGGTCTGCAGCTCACTGATGGGCCGGGTGATTCTCCAGTTGGATGCACTCGGTCTCTCAGAACATCAGCATCAGACAAGGACATCCCGAGACCACGGGGAAGTGAGACAAACCCACGCCACACTGCCTGTGGTCTCAGCACGGACAGAAAGGAGACACGGTGCAGCTCACACACTACCAAGCAGCTCGGGGGCCGGCCAACAGAAGGGAAGGCAGTGTCTTTCCTATCCCCCCTCACCCTCGCTCCTGTCTGCTGAGTCCCTACACATTTTCTAAGATGCCCAGTCACAGATTTGCCCCCACGTCCTCACGACACCAATCCAGAGGGGCCCCTGCATTCACAGATCCTCTTGAGATCACTGTCCAGAGCACATGTCCTGGGCATGTCCTGCCTCATATCAGGATGAAATCAGGACTTTTGAAGAAGCAGAAAACACACAATCAGAACTGCAAAGAAGAAAGGAAAGAAAAAGGAACAGAAAAGGAAAGAAAACAATTCAAAATAATGAGGATAGTATATGGAGCCTCTGGGATAACTTTCTGCACACTAACTTTCGTAACATGGGGGTACCCACAAGAGAAGACAGAGCACAAGGAATTGAAACACCATTTAAGGAAACAATGACAGAGAATTTCCTTAACCTGGTGAAGGAAGTAGACATACAAGTCCAGAGTGCAGAGTCCCATACAAGGGGCCCACACCAAGACACATCATAATTTAAATGTGAAAGGCTAAAGACAAAGAGAGAATTATAAAAACAATAAGATAAAAGCACTGACTTTCCTGCAATGGCATTCCCATAAGATGGTCAGCTGTTTTCTCAAAAGAAACTTTGCCTGCAGGAAGGGACTGGCAAGATGTATTCAAAGAGATGAAAAGCAAGGAGCTATCATTTTTAATCGAAGGACAAATAAAGAGCTTTACAGACAAGAAATAGCTAACAGCAGTTTATCACCACCAAACCAGTATTACAAGAAACATGTAAGGGTCTTCTTTAAGAAGGAGAAATAATTTTTTAAATATGAATAATAAAATGGCAATAACTACATATCTATCAAAATATACTTTAAATGCAGATGAATTCATTGCTCTAATCCAAAGACATAAGGTGACTGAAAGGATAGGAAAACAAGACCCATACATGTGCTGTCTACAAGACTCAATTCAGGCCGATAGACACACAGACTGAAAGTAAAGGGATGGAAAAAGAAATTTTGTGAGAATGAAAACAAACAAGCAAAAAACTAGGGTAGAAATACTTATAGCACACCACACAGATTTTAAAACAAAAAATATATGACAACAGACAAAAAGAACCCAGCCATTCCACTTTTGAATATTTACCTAAAGAAGCCCAAAACACAATCATAAAGACATCCACACCCACATGTTCATTTCAGCAGTATTTACAAAAGCCAAGATGTGGAAGACACCTAGTGTGCCTCAATAGGTGAGTGGATAAAAGAGAGATGGTCCATGTATACCACCAGGTATAACTCAGCCATAATAAAAAATGATTGGTTGCCATCACCAAAACCACGGGTGGAAGGTAGTGTGTTGAGTGAAATAAGTCAGACAGAGAAAAACAAATGCCAGATGATTGCACTTATATGTGGAATCTGAAAAATAAAGTCATCCAGCCCTGGCTGGTGTGGCTCAGTGGATTGAGTGCTGGCCTTCGAACCAAACGGTCAGCAGTTCAATTTCCAGTCGGAACATGACTGGGTTGCAGGCCAAGTCCCCAGTGTAGGGCACAGGAGAGGCAACCACACATTGATGTCTCTTTTTCTCTCTTTCCCTGTCTCTAAAAATAAATAAAGTCTTTTAAAAAATAAAAATAAAGTCATACAGCTGAACAGAAACAGACTCACAGATACAGGGAACAGACTGATGGTTTTCAGATGGGAGGGAAATTAGGGGGCTGGTTGTAAAGGTGATGGGAGTAAGAAGTACACACTGGTTGTTACAGAACAGTCACCAGGAAGTAAAGTGCAGCACAGGGAATAGAGTCATTAATATTTTAATAACAACAAATGGTGCGAGATGGGTACTAAGTTTATTGGTGTAAAAATTTGTGTTTTTTATAAATGTCTAATCACAGAATTCTGCATAAACTAATGTAATACTGTACATCAACTATAACTGAAAAATTAAAAATACATAAAAAGAAGATAAACATATCTTGAGTTCATTATACAAATGGATTAATTTCTTAACTATCCTTAATGAAAATGGAGAAAAATGAATTATCTCCTATGATGACCAGGAAAGTGCACAAACACACTTCTGCTACATTCATTCCCAAGTACCATGAGCCCAGGAAAGTGACCTGTGAGGGCTGAGTCAGCCTCTTCTTCACAGAACAATAAGTTCTCTTAAGAGAATGAGAGACACAGAACCTGTGATGACTGAGGTGTGCTGAACTGGCAACACTCTCTCAAATGAACGTGAGCTTCTCCCTCAGGGAGAGTCAATGGGCAGTTGACCCTGACAGCACTTGTTGTCTGGATGGAGTGGAAGCTCTCAGAGGAAAACCAGGATTCTGGCAAACGTGTGTCTCCCCACGGCAGCCAGACAGCTTCCCAGAGCTGACAACCATTTCCAGTGGGGTCTGCGGTAACGTTAATAAATGTGGTTTTTGGTGTTGTGTAATTAAATGCACCCACACTGGGAGATGTCCATGACTTAGTGAAACAATGCATTACTTTCAAACTATCAAATAATCCTGCATCAGTACAAGAGTTACTCAAGTAATGTAATGGGCGTGGCTCTCAGGACCTCAGCCTGACGACAGAGTCTGGGGCAGTTAAAGATCACTATTGTAGGTCTGCTCAGCACACGGGGCCGGGGGGAGGGGGGCGGGGGGGGGGCGTCTGGGGCAGGTTCTTTCACCCTCTCACAACCTGCCTCAGGTCCTACATCCTGGATACCCATGACGCTTCCCCAGTTCTCACTCTCATTGGGTTTTGGGAGTCTAGAGCAGCCAATCAGCGTCACCGTGCTCTCGGGTAGACAATGCCATCTGTCAACCGGAATGCATTCTCCCCAAACCCTCAGGGTCTGATAGGTAATGGGATTTCAAGCCCTGCTGCTGCTGCTCTTCCAGGCCCTGGCCCTGACCGAGACCTGGGCGGGTGAGTGTGGGGTCCGGAGGGAACAGCCTCCTCGGGGCAGGAACCAGGGGGCCGGCGAGGGCGTAGGAACCCAGCACTGTGTGACTCCAGTGCTGGGGCCCAGACCCGCAGACCGACTACCGCCCCCATCCCGGCCCTCCCCTTTCCACCCCACCTTCCGCTTCTGGACCCTTTACTGTCTCCCGCACCTCCTGCCCCTATGGGATGACCCAGGGCGCGCGTCCTCCCTGCCCGGCAGACACTCACTCCCTGAGATATATCAGCACCGCTGTGTCCGGACCGGGCCGTGGGAAGTCCCGGTACGTCGTCGTCGGCTATGTGGACGACACGGAGATCGTGCGGTTCGACAGCGACGCTGCGAGTACCAGGCTGGAGGCGCCCGCACCGTGTTCCGAGCGGCCATGGTCGGAGCAAGAAAAGCCAAACTATTGGTACCATCGGTCAAGCGTTTGCGCGCACAACGCGCGTATTAACGAAGGGAACCTGAACAAGCTGCGAGCCTACTTCAACCACAGCGAGGATGGTGAGCCACGCGCGTGGGTCTGGGACAAACCGCGTCCCCAAGGTCCGGCTGACGTCGCAGGGAGTCCCCGCATCCTGGCATCACCTGGGGCTGTGGGGCTCATCCTGCCCCATCCCCCGGAGATTTTTGAAAGATTTCCTTGTGTTTAGAGAGAGAAAGGGAGGCAGAAGGGGAGAGAAACATAAATGTGTAGTTGTCTCACGCGCGCCCCCTACAGGGGACCTGGCCCGCAACCCAGGCATGTGCCCTGACTGAAAATCAACCAGAGACCCTTTGATTCGCAGACCTGCACTCAATCCACTGAGCCACACCAGACGGAGCAGATTTTCAGTTTACGTGTAATCACAGTGGGTCGGAGCTGGACAGGTGAGGGCAGGTTAAGTGGGCAGGACTGACCTCAGAGAGGGGTTAGTGTCTCACACTTTCCAGGCAATGAGTGGCTGCACCCTGGGGCCAGACGGGAGCTTCCTTCGCGGGTACACGCAGTTCGCCTACGACGGCACGGACTTCATCGGCCTGAACGAGGACCTGAGCTCCTGGACCGCGGCCCGGGACACCTGGCACAAGTTGGTGCAGGTCCCTGATGTGGACGTCAGGAGGTTCTTCCTGGAGGATACATGCGTGCGCCTGCTCCAACTGTACCTGGAGAAGGGGAAGAAGATGCTCCTACGAGCAGGTAGGGCGAAGGCAGCCCGGGGAGGGGATCTGTGGGCTGGGGCGGCTTCCTACAAGGAGAGGAGGAAAATGGGGCAGTGTCAGAATGTCCCTCTGCTCAGGAAAGGGAAGAGTCCCCCAGGTCTCTTCATTCAGTGGCTCACCCACGGGCCCAGCTTTCTCTAAAGGACAGTAAGGGACCCAGACCCTCCCTGAAACATCCCACAGCGGTTCCCTCACACCCTGCAGCACCTGATGCACCAGGATTCTCTCCCTGGTTCTCCACTGAGACCTTCTCTGGATGCCTGACTCCTGCTTTTCTGAGTCATCAGCCTCCACCTGAGTCTGTGTCTCCCCTTAGAGACTTGGACACTCCTACCCTAGATTCTCACCCTGATTCTGGAAATTTCCAAGAAATAGGGGATTATCCCAGGTGCCTCTGTCCAGGCTGGTGTCTGAGTGTTGCTCTCCCTTCCCCCACCCCCACTGTCCAGTCCACTCTCAGGGTGGTCACATGAGCACTGCTGGACTGTCCCACGACCATGCAGAATTCCTGAATTTTCTCACCCTCTCCTCAGACCCTCCAAAGACACACGTGACCCACCACCCCATCTCTGACCATGAGGTCACCCTGAGGTGCTGGGCCCTGGGCTTCTACCCTGCGGACATCACCCTGACCTGGCAGCATGAAGGGGAGGACCTGACCCAGGACATGGAGCTGGTGGAGACCAGGCCTGCGGGGGACGGGACCTTCCAGAAGTGGGCAGCTGTGGCTGTGCCCCCTGGAGAGGAGCAGAGATACACGTGCCATGTGCAGCACCAGGGGCTGCCTGAGCCCCTGACCCTGAGATGGGGTGAGGAGGGGGTGTGGGCACAGAGCCTCTCCTCAGGGTGTCCCTGAGCAGGGTCAGGACTCAGGCCTGAAGTTGACCTCTCACCTTCCCCTCACAGACCACCCTCCTCAGACCACCGCAGACCCCCCTCCTCAGACCACCATTGCCATCGTGGGCATCACTGCTGCCCTGGGTCTCCTTGGAGCTGTGGTCACTGGAGCTGTGCTGTGTTGGAGGAAGTTCTCAGGTGGGTAAGGAGTGGGGCTGAGTTCCTTGACCCCCTGGGGCTCAAGCCCACATGGAAATGTGCTCTGCCTCTTTAATGGGCATCATATCCCCACATGGGTGCTTGTCCATCTGGGGCCTATTTGCTATCACTGACTCTTTAGTGAGGCCCGTGGCAAAGTGAAGGACACATCACCTGATGATTCTAGTGATTGGGACTGATTCCCAGGTGTCCCAGATCAGTGGGGAAGGTCCCTCCTGAGGAGAGATGTCCACAGGGGTATAGGTCAAGTCCCAGCACATGTACTCTCCCTGTATTTCCTGATCCTACCCTTGCTGTTCAATCACAGTTCTGGAACCTTCCCTGTGCTTCAGGAGTGTGGGGCTCCTTTAGGGTAATGGGACCCAGTCTTCCCCCTGAGTTCTCACAGAACATTTTCTTCCCACAGACAGAGGAAGGAAGAGATGTGCTCAGGCTGCCTGTAAGTCTGGGTGTTGGGGAGGTGATGTCTGGGACCCTTGGGAGAGTGTGGGCTGGAGTCTGTGAGGGGGGCTTCCCCACCCATAACTCTGCTGTTGTTCTTCTCCAGGCAACGACAGTGCCCAGGGCTATGATGTGTGTCTCACAGCTCCTGATGGTGAGACCCTGAGGACAGGAAGTGGGGGGCATTGAGACTGAGGGGCACAGCTGTGTTTTGGGGATTCTCAGAGAGGGACATTCTGAGCATGCATTTGGGCTGTGAGAGAATGTGACACTTCTGAGACTGACCTGTGTTTATTCATGACAACTTTCTTTCCAGTGTGACAGAGCTGCTATGTCCAGGACTTGGTGGTAAAACAGTCACTGCAGCCTCCCCTTGGGACTTTAAGGATCCCTGACTGCTGTTTCTGCAACTGGCATTGGAATGTGTCTGTGTTCTTATCAGCACCAGTGAGGAGCTGGTCATCAGGCCACCCTCCCCACAAAGATCTGCGTCCTCTCCCTTGGGGACTGTCCTGTTACCAGAGTTGGGGTGAGGCCACCCCATCCTTATTATTCCTTGGCTGGATGATCTTTGTTGCTCCTTTCTCCTTGCTGCTTCAGGAGAACCTTGTCCCACCAGGACCTGGGATCTCAGGGACATGAGCATCACCTGGGCCTTGTTGTGGCTCCAGGACTGTGCTCAGTGAGGGCTTCCTGCGGCCACGTCAGCCTGGGCTCAGGCCTGGGTCTGGTCCTCAGCCTGTATCTATTTGCTGTTTCTTTTTTATTGTAGATACTGTAACTATTGTATTTAAAAATAAAGTTATGGGAGTATTTATATTAAATGATAGGGGTGTGTCTTTTTATTGAATGTATTGGGGTGCATTGGTTAAGAGGATCATTCAGTGCCCACTACCCAAAGTCGAACCATCTTTCCCTCACCAGGTATGAGGCCCCTCGTCCCACCAACCCCCCTTCCCTCTGGGAACCACCACACTGCTGTCTGTGTCCATGAGTTTCAGGTTTATATCCCACTTGTGAGTGACATCATAGAGTTCTTAGCTTTTTGCTGACCAAGCTATTTCACTTAGCATGATATTCTCACAGTCCATCCATGTTGTCACAAAGGGCAATATTTTGTTTTTCCTATGGATGAATAGGTTTGGTGTATGAGTTTTCATCTCATCCTCCTCTGGGTGTCCCCCTCTGACAGCAACAGGAGGCATTTTGTCTGTCATTGTCCCCACAAGGCCGAGGGTGGCCCCTGCATGCAGGAATCTGTGGTGTTGAGAGGGGAAGTTTCAGACGCATCCTGCTCTTACCTCCCTGGGCGTGATTGTTCTCCCACCTTTTCCCAGCCTCCTCCGGGGAACTGGGTTCTGGAATCAGCAGAGAGCAGGGGGCCTGTAATGTCTCACCTCAGACACGTTCCTGCTGCGATTCTGCTCTGCTCAGCTGCCGTCTCCCCCCACCCCCCCCCTTCGCGCTAGTGGAAGCTCCAGTGCAAAATCAGGGATTCACAGAGCAGAGGCCCCGGCAGGGTTAGGCGAGCAGCACTGTGGGGACATGGGGGGGGGGCATTGGTAGCAGCGTGAGTACAGGTTGTGCTGTGGCTGCCACAGCACAGGTAGGGGCTGGGGCCATATCAGTAAAGACACTGTCACTACAATAGGAAGGTGTCTTACAGTGATGGGTCACTCAACTAGTAGTTTTTGAGTACCGGGTAGATGACATACCATTTTTACATCTGGAATACCAACATATGGAGATATTTCAAATTCGGGTCCAAACCACCGCAATAAAGTAAATATCGAAATAAACTGAGTTACACAAAATGTTTGGTTTCCCTGTGCACATACAAGACTTAAGCTGTACAGGAGTGTATTAAGTGTTTAATAGTATTATGCCTTAAAAGTAATGTGCACACCTTCATTAAAATAGGCTTTATTGTAAAAAAAAATGCTAACTATCATCTGAGTCTTTAGTGACTTGTTCTTTTTGCTGGCGGAAAATCTCAACTTCAATTAAAAACACACAGAGCCCTGGGCAGGTGGTTCAGTTGTTGGAGCATCGCTTCATACAGAAAAGTTTGTGGGTTCCATCCCCGTTCTGGGCACATACTGGGTCGTGGGTTCAATTTTTCAACAGGGTGCATACAGGAGGCAAACGATTAATGTTTCTCTCTCCCTGTCTCCCTCTCTCTGTCTCTCTCTCTCCTCTCTCAAATCAATAAAAACATATGCTTGAGTAAGGATTTAAAAAAATACATCTGTGAAGTGCTATAAAATGCAGCAGTTCTGTGTATTGGGGAACTAAGAAGGGGCCGAATTGCTAGCCTGCATTAGTTCTCCAATACATGTGCCCTGTAAGGGCACAAGACACTTGTATTGGGGAAACTAAAAACACAGGTACCATTGCAAAATGACAAACTGAACTGTGACCACAGTCAGTGAGAAAAGAGTTCCCATCAGAAGGCAGGAGGTGCTGTGGAGAAGGGGATGCACTGGGGTGTGTTGGGAGAGGCAGGAGGTCTGTTAGAATTCAGGTGGTCAGTGTGGGCCTCACAGGAAGGTGGCCTTGGGGGAGAGATGAGAAGGACACAGCAATTGCCCAGCAGGAGGTCTGGGGCAGGCTCCTTCCAGGCAGGAAGCCTCCCATGCACACGCACTGGGGAGGGAGCCTCTGCATGTGGTTTTGGAACAGCCGGAGCCAGTATGGCTGCAGCAGAGTCCTGGGAGGGGTCAGATTCTGGCCACATCATGCAGACCTGGGAGAGGTTGGAAGGGTTTTGAGCTTGATTAAAACAATTTTGAACAAAGACAAATATGGTGGATTTTTTAAATGTTATTTTATTCATAACAGAAATATTTTAAAATTAGCCACATATATACACATATACATATATATTAGAAGTGATTTAGAGTAAAACTCCAAGGTGTATGGTTATCAGCAGGTATTTTTCTATCTACACCAGCACCCATTCATTAAGCCATTTCAAGTAACTTTAAGTTCATAAATGTGCAATGAGATATGTAGCCGATCCAGGAGGGACAGACTGTGTGTGATGTAACAAGGGGGACCTCATGGCTCCCCACTGATGTTCCCTGTGACCACTTGTGCTCCATGCACAATTCAGGGTTTCTTCCCACACATCCGAATGTGATGTTTTAGGGCCTCTGGCTGTGGCTGGTTAAGTCCCCTGATTCTAACCAAGTGCTGCCATGTTGCCTAGGAGTAAACCCCAAGCTTCCAGGGCCCCCTCTTGTAGTCCTCAGTGTGTCTATGTGGGGTCAGAGAGCTAACCAATCAGAAGGTGAGAACACCTGCTTCAAGTAAGAGCTGTTCCAGTGTGCACTGTCCTTAATCCATTGTAGACATTGTTCTAATTCTATGGATGCTGAGTCCTAGATGGTCATGGCCAATGAGCTGATGTCCTTAGTGGCTTCCTCTGAGAGTTTCTCCCCACTAGAGAGCCCTTGGGCCACAGGGTCAGTCTGGCTGCTGGGCTGAGGACAGAATCAGGAGACAAGGGACCAGTGAGGCAGGAGGGAAACGTGTGGGGAAGCTCCCATGGTTCCAGGCTGCAGGTGCTGGGTGTTCTGACGGGGCTGTGAGTGGTGGAAACAGTGGGAAGGGACTGAACACTGAATGCATTGGGAAGATGGATTTCACAGCATTTCCTAGTGATTCAATCTGGGGTGTGGGAAAGGAGTCAAGGAGGACACCCACATGTGTACTGTGCCAGCAGAAAGATGGGGTTTTATCAGCAGAGAGGGAGAAGACCCTGGCAGGAGCATGTGTGGGAGAGGGATGGGTTTTTCAAAAGTTCAGCCGAAGAGGAGGTCAAGGTGAGATGTGTGTTAGGAACACCAGTGAGGTGTCAGGTTGGACAGATGAGTGTGGGGACCTTGAGGAGAAATGTCTGAGCTCGAGACATAGATGTGGAGGTGATGTTATGAGAATGACATTAAATCTGTGAGCATGAATGAGGCCACCAAGGGAGCCAGGACTGCAGATGAGGAAAGAACAAGGACTGGACACTGCACCCACCTGTCCTGACAGGGGGGATGTTTATCCTGGTAACTCACCCAGGTTGGTGGCAGTCAGTTCTCCCCATTATAAATTCACCATTTGGTTAATGTCATTCATTAGTAATTTACAGGAGATATTCTGAGATCGTCCTGCTGTGCTTTTCATCACTTCTACACTCACCTTCCTTTGCCCCTCTATTAACATCTACCCAAGTCAAGAAGAATATGATGGTTGTACTGTACCTGCCCTGAGTATTTTTTTTACTAGGATGTACAGTACAGCACAGGGAATATGGTCAATAATATTGTTGTGAATATTTACAGTATCAAATGGGTCCTAGATTTATCACTGAGATTACTTAACAAGCTATGTAAATGTTTAACCTTTGTGCTTTCAAGCTGAAACTGGTATAATATTATATGTCAAATATTATTGAAAAGTAAAAAAATATTAAAAGTTAAAAAAGTTATAACTTGCACTTCATGCCCAATATTCTGAGAGCAGTTTTGGGGAGAAACGTGAGTATTTTGTGACAAGCCCCTGAGCCACCCTGGTCTCGAGTAGACTTGGATGCACACAATCCTGTGATGCAGTAAGACCCGGGTTGGGAAAGGCCTTGAATCCACATTTCAATGTTCTTCCCACCCTCAGGAAGGAAAGGTAGTTCATAATTTGTCAGATGAGGGTGGAAGGTACATGCTGTTTTCTCTGCCGCGGGGTAAAGTCAAGTAGAAGATTTAGAAAGTGGCTCTCAGTCCAATGTAATGAAAATCTCAGAATGCTCATTCTCTGCAATTAACCCCCTGACTGATTTCTTGAAAGAAGTAATAGAATCCAAAAATTTCTACTTTAAACATAGAAGGATTTCTATGTGGGATATTGGGAGCTCATTTTATTTCAGGAAAAAGCCACAGAACAGACCTGGGGCTGTGAGCAGCGAGAGCTGTGAGACTAGAACCCACAGGCAGACCAGCCTGGGTCACAGGGATGACGGTGTGAGGGACATGGGGACAGGGTTCTAGAAGACAAGGAGATGAAGGAAAGGGCCCAACAGGAAACACTGTGAGGGAAGCTATTGGTGCAGATGTCCCTGCACCCCAATGACATGTGACTCTAAGTCAGCTCCACCCAGGGAACAAGGGACACTTTCTCTGTCTCCTGCCCACATGCTCCTGAGGGCATCTCAGTCATTGCCATCTCTATTCGTGGTCACCAGACCTGCCTCAGGTTGCCATCCTGTGGTCATGTCCTGTGTCACATGCACTGACCTCAAGGTCTGGCCCGCCATCTCCATGGTGCCTCACCTGCACAGACACCTCCAGAGGCTGCAGCACATTCACACCCCCCCGCAGCCACCACCAGTGTCCTCCAGACACCAGAGCCACCCACATTGTCCTGATCCTGGTGGTCACCTGTGTCACCACCTACGTGCTGAATTCCATTCTTCTGTTCACATCACTGCCTTTTTACACTCTCATCTGTGGTTGATGCAGACAGCTCAGTTTCTGCTTTCCTGTTTCCCCAGCATCAGGCCCCTCCCTGCTAGTCCTCAGGGACCTAGAACTACTGGGTGTGCTCTTGAAGTGTCGAAACCACTGTTGAGACAGTAAATATATAGAATAGAGCTTCAGTAGTAACCATAACTACTCAGTTCAGCAATTATGTCTTCAATACTATTTATTACATAAAATCTGTAATGACCTTAGAAGCTCAGTTTGAACTGGTGCTTCACTGGAAGATCTTCAAGTCAATCCAGAATATGATGAGCTTGATAAAGACCCATAAAATTATAGA